GTAGCCCTGGCTGTCCTGGAACTCACTCTGTAGACCAGGCTAGCCTCGACCTCTCCAACTCAGAAATCCACCTGCCTCTGCCTCCCAAGTGCTGGGATTAACGGCGTGCGCCACCACCGCCCGGCTCTCTTTTTACTTCTGAGGCAGGGTCTCCTTCAGGTTCCTAGACCCGGAACTGGAGAGATAGTGTCATCAGTAAACTTGTTGTGCATGGATCCGTATAGTTGATGTAAGCAGCTGCCAGCAGTGCGGAGGCCTGGGCTTGCTATTTCTGGGCTCAATATCATCAGCCAACCTATTTAATAAGCCAATGAGACCCTGTCTCAAAGTCAAAGTGGATGGCTCCTGAGGAATGACACCAAGATTGTCTTCTGACCAACACTCAGACACGAGCATATGTGTGTTGCACCCATGCATGGCATGAACTCTCTCCCTCTCTCCCCCCCCCCCCCAGGATTCCCCGCCTGATTTTGAACTTTCCATCCGTCTGCCTCAGCCTTCCAAGCAGCTGGAAAGATAGGTTCAGCTCCCGGATAAATTTCCAAGAGTGACGTGACTTTTGTGTTGAGTACTGGTCTTGGTATCCCTCTCCATACCCGCCCCCCACACCTTCTTCTACCAACACTGCCTTGGTGACTTTGTGTTCCCCAAGAGTCCAATGTCCCATAGAGTGGAGAGAGGGGTGGGTAGTTTCCGATAAGGGGGTCATGACGGTTCATTAATTGGGGAGGGAGTCTCCCAGGATTCCACTCTGCTTTGAATGAACACGTAGAATGATGGGGTTCCACTGATTCAAAGCCCATCTCTAGGTCTAGCTGTTTCCATTCCTCCACTGAGTACACCAGTAAAGCCCTATTTTCTCACTACCTGCTCCCACCCCACTCCAAATGTGACAGAACTTGAATGTAGGTAGGAGGCGAGGCCCAGCCCTGATTGCTACATCATGACATGCACTGGGACAAAAGCCAGCATCCTAGGTATTGGGGTTGCATGATTAAAGGAATGGACACCAGATACTCAGGAGCGTTGGGGACAGATAGGGGAATCCATGGAGAAAGAAGGGAGCCTGAAGTCTCAGGAGAGGGTGCAGGCAATTAGAGTCAGAGCTCAGGGAAGGACAGTTCCCACTCGCTCTACAAGGGTTATTTCCACACTCCCGGAAACACAGCATCACAGTCACAGCAGCCCCTCCTCCCACTCTGGAAGTCGTTTGCCTACACTTCTCCCAGGAAGACTTCCTGATCTGTCCCACCACTGAACTTCCAAACCCTCCTCCCGTTGGGTAATCCATAAATATTTCTTGAGTAGATGCTTTAGTTCTTGGAGGAGGCCGAGAGCCACCTAGCAAAATAAACAAGCACAGGAGATAGTAACAGTTGTTGCAAGGGAAAGACTACCTAGGGAGGAGCCTGAGAAGTGAGACCTGCAAAGAAACAGAGAAAGAAAGATGTTACCTACTGAGGGTGGAAGAGACTGAACTGGACCTGGTGCCTGAGGCAGGAGTATTCTGAAGTCAAATCCTGTACCACAGAGCAGCGTGGGCAACTCGGCTGAGAACTTAAGAGTCTGGAGCCATCTTGATCCTAGTTACTTGATCCCAGAGGACTGGCCTTAGGAGACCTGGGTTCCCAAAGGTTCCCATTCCCGTTCACACAGCAGGATGCACTGGCACTGCCTCACTGTCGCCAGTGAGAACAGGGCTTCTCCCGGGATGTCCTCTCGGCTGCCCTCATGTGGCTGTATCGAGGTATTGCAAGGCCCTCCATACAGTAGAGTAGATGAACAACCCGGAGCCTCAGTTTAAAAAACAAATTAAGGAGGAGGCAGAGCAAAGGAGTGGACCAGAATTTCTGATCAAAAGAAGTAGGCTTGGGCTGGAGAGATGGCTCAGTGGTTAAGAACACTGACTGCACTTCCAGAGGTTCTGAGTTCAAATCCCAGCAACCACATGGTGGCTCACAACCATCTGTAATGAGATCTGATGCCCTCTTCTGGTGTGTCTGAAGACAGCTACAGTGTACTCATATATAATAAATAAATAAATCTTTAAAAAAAAAAAAAAAAAGAAGTAGGCTTGATCAGGAGGCTTTCTTGAGTTAGCTTAGGTCCAGGTTTCACTGATTCACACCTTGAGGCCTCGTGTGTTACTACAAAGACAGCAGCCAAGGGCCTAGCGAACTTAAACTTTGCAAACGGCCCAGGACTCGCTTGATTTGGTAGGGTTTCTTGTCTTTCTTTTACTTCCTGCTCCCTCCATGGATATTGGGGGTTCCATGAAACACAGAACTTTCTGGCTCTGTCCCAGGGGCTTCTCGGTCTGTGCCCAGGGCCTGTGCCTCATGCCCTAATGGGATAGTCACTAACGGGATAGTTCCCTGCCTGACTTCCTCGATGTCACAGCAACTGTTACGTGACAAGGTAGTGGCGTTGGCTCCCCCTTCATTTGCCGGCTTCCTAAACACTGCCACCATCTCTCATCCCCATCCAACTATGAATGTATAGCATGCCCAGGTATATTCCCCAGGAGTCTGTCCTGCCCGGTCCCCGTGCATCTCCACCTCCAAAGCTGATCTGTCATTTTGAACAGCCTCCTGTCTCCAATCTCCTGTTTTGAGCAGTTTTATTTCAGGCCATCAAAACATCTATAGCTACTAAGCTTAATACTGTAATTCATGTAAGGCAAAAATTGTTTTTGCAGACGGAGGAACTTGCAGGAAGCCATCAGCTAGCTGATCCTGTGTTACCCAAACCTAAGCCCAGGTCTCCTCTCTCGCAGCCAACTGCATCTCTCATTCCACGCTCAGGAGAAAGACTCTCGGCCACCAACCCACCTTTCCACTCCCCCACACCCAGGTCAGCAGAGTCATATTGAATAAGGAGTCAAGAGAGTCTCGGGGAAACAAAGTGTCATGTTTTATTTCCACTGAGAAACTCAAGAGTAGAAAGCTCCCGCTGCGTCATTCCGGGGACTTCCGGTCACGTACGGAAAAAGAGGTGAAGAAACTGGCTGGTTATCCGACGAAACTGATTAATCTCCAAGACACCACAGTTGAACGGGGAGAATGAGGACTGATAAACCAGGTCCCCGGGTGAGACGACAGGCATGTAATGCCCAGGTAGGTGGTCTGCACCAGAGAGGACTGTGGGTAAGTACAGTCAAGATCCCTGGTTCGTGAGGAGTCAGCAGTGACTAGAGGAATGTTCTAGAAGAAAAAGAAAAGCAGGAGAAAAAATAATGATAGGACACAACCACTCCTACAATGATGGAGAGCAAGTCCTTTCATGAAGCCCTGGCTCCAGGGCTCCTTAGAGCCCTCCCCCGTCAGCCTTCAGATCCCTCCCCCGTCAGACTCCAGGTCCCTCCCCCGTCAGACTTCAGACCCCACCCCCCGTCAGACTTCAGATCCCTCACTTTTACTCCCACATAAAACAAATGATGTGGGCTCACTAAAGTACTGAATAACTTTCCAGGCCAGGCATGACGGTAAGCACCTGTTCCACCAGCCTCCAGGAAGCTGAGGCAGGAAAATTTAGGAGTTTGTGGCCACCCTGAGCCTACACAAAAAGACCCTGTCTCCAAAATACAAAACAAGCTGTCAACAGACTTCCTTCCTGGGGCCTTACTTCACCAGGCCTCTGAACCTTCGCCTCCTGTCTGTCAGTACCCCTGGCCAGCTTTCTCCTTGGTTCTGAACCTTGATAGTTTCCTCCATGAAATTCAGCCCTTCACCTGCCATCCACTCATAGACAGCCCCTTGTATCCTGGGATGTTTTCTTTGTTCATTTGGGTCTTTGTTTTTGTTTTTTGGATGATTGGGTTTTGGTTTTTTGTTGTTGTTGTTGTTTGTTTGTTTGTTTGTTTTGTTTGTTTGGTTGGTTGGTTTTTGGTTTGTTTGTTTGGTTGGTTGGTTGGTTTTCTTTTTTTTTCGAGACAGGGTTTCTCTGTGTAGCCCCGGCTGTCCTGGAACTCACTCTGTAGACCAGGCTGGCCTCAAACTCAGTGATGCACCTGCCTTTGCCTCCCAAGTGCAGGGATTAAAGGACTCTGCCGCCATGACCACCTGTCTCCTAGGCTTTTTTTCTAAGGAGTCTTTCTCCACGCCCCTCAAAGCAGGTGCTCTTCCTAATCACTCTTCAGTATTCGCCCCAAGGACACCAGCCTTCCTGTGCCACTCACTGAGGTCCAAGGAAATACTCAGCTCCTCCTGCTCCTGGCCCTCAGCCTTGTGTGGCCCACTCTAACACTTACCTACCAAAACTTCAGCCACTTCAGCAGGCCAGGTTGTGCCCGGGAAGCCTGCAGAACAAGGGGAATGGCTGAGTGGGCACCACACTGTCACCACCACCACCACCACCCTCAGCAACCTCGGGTCCCTTCTACCTCAAGCTACATCCTCTTAACGCACCCCCACCCCACCCAACCATACCCACCCCCTATCCCACTCCCCCCACCCACCCCCACCTCCCTGTACTCACTGAGGATGAAGGCGTGACTCCTGCCTGGAAAGAGAAGATCAAAGGAAGTCACAGGAAGCCATGGAAAGCACTTTCTAGGCTACCCCTTGGCCTCAGGCTCCCCAGGGTCCCCATGATAATCCAGCATTATCAGCAAAGTCCTTCACATTGGCTGTAGGTATTCGGTCTGTAGCCTTTCCTTCCAGAGCATACATTTTTACCCAGGATTATCTTGAATATGCCCCCCCCAAACACACGAGGGAGTGGAGGAGTGAGCGAGGAGCCCTTTCCTGCTGGAGGGACGGTTGGAGGTCAGCTATACACAGAAGCCAGGTGAAGCCTGTGGTGGTGTTTACTCCCTCTGCTCCTCCTCTTCCTCAGCCATAGTCCCTCATTTGTTTGTTTGTTTGTTTGTTTTTGTCTTTGTTTTCCAGGTGCGGAGAAGTGGAGCACAGCCTCACACACACTAGGAAGTATCTGACCACCAAGCTGCATCCTTGGCCTTTATATTTTAAGACAATAAGTCACCCAGGCTAGATGTGCACCATAGCCCAGGTAGTCCCTGAATTTATGATCATCCTCCTGCCTCAGCCACCATCCCCACCCTACCCCCAAGTGGCTAGGATGGTAGGCTGCGAGTGGCCTGGCTGCAGTTTCTCAGCAGAGTGTTCTGAGAAATGGAAGGAAGTCCCTGGCCTGGCTTTTCCTTGTCAGCCATACTGGTGTCTAACATACTCACTCTCTGGTATTGTCATATAACCTTGTTTATTTCTTGGCTGGTTGGTTGGCTGGATGATGGGTTAGCAATGCTAGGAACAGAGCCCAGGGCTTTCCTCTGTGAGACAGGCACTCTACCTTGAAGCCACACCCCTAAACTTCTAAGACTGTCTATTTCGTTAATATATATAATATATGTGTATATTATATATATTATATGTATTTGGGCCTCGGTATACATATGGAGGTCAGAGGACAATGTAGAGGAGCCAGTTCTCCTTCCACTATGTAGGTCCAGCAGATCGATCTCAGGCTGTGAGGCTTTTAGCAGCAAGCCCCTTTACACTCTGAGCCACCTCACACCCCCAAGACTGCCGTATCTGCAACTACACAAAACAAACCTCTCAAGTCTTTTTTTTTTTTTTTGTCCCTTTTCTAATTCCTCGGGGGCATGAAGCCTTCAGTTCAGAGTCCTAACGCTTAGCTTCTATTCCCCACCAACCAAGAGTCCCACAGCTTAGCTTCTAGGATGTGCTGGGATGCTCGCCTCCATTCCAGCTGCTGCCCCACAAAGGGCAAGCAAGGGCAATGCCGCCGAGACAAGCCTCCTGTGTGGACTAGGTCTCTCTCCTGCACCTCCTTCCTAGCTGCGGGGGGTGGGGTGGGGGTCTGGCTGGGGCATCCCACCTCCTGGAGTCCTCCTTACCGCGGTGTGATGGAAGGAGGAGAGAAGCTCCTCCCCGCTCCAAGCAGACACGCCCCCACACCCACCCACCCCGAGGAAACGGGTTTCCTCAAAACTCACCTTGGGTGTGGTCTTGGCATAGTATTGCCAGTTGTAGGTAGGATTCACTGGCGGGTTGTTGTAGTAGTTCTGTGGGAACAAAGGGGGATAGGGTGCGGAGGAGAAGGAGAAATGTCAGTTCACCATCTAACAAACCTCCACTTCGTTGCCCGGACAGCTGTTTTCTTAGAAGCCACGCTTTGTCCCCTCTGTGTAACATGTAACGGGGCTTTCTTTCCTGTTACCCCCGCAGGGTTAACTGGAGCCCAGATCCCTCTTCCCCCTCTGCTAATCCATCCCAGCTCCTCCAACGTGACATGGGAGGTGAGGACAGGAGACCCAGAGAAAAAAGGTGGCGTTTAAGTCGGGGGTCCGGGCAGGAGATCTTGCCTTGGATGAATCAGCTGACAGCTCCTGTCTTGCTGCTTCAGGCTGAGAAAACTGTCAGTAGGAGAGAAGAAAGAGGATTTCAACTTAGCCAGCTGTAAGAACGGGGTGAGTGGGGAGCCCGTGGACCACGGAACTCACCTGATCAGCACCGCCTGCCCTCTTCTGCAGAGACGACAGATCTGCGCTCTAAAAAGGAGTCAGAAGGCATCGATCAGCTTTGCCACAGTCCTCCGGGTCTTGCCAGTCTTCCAAAGCCCGCACACTGTACTGCCTCAGCTCCGCCTCCTCTCAGGGCTCTGCCTATCCCACCCTACCCCTGTAATGGTCCCAGCTCAGTCCAGTAGGACTGGAGGATGCTGATGGCCCAGATAGATATAGGACACAGGTTTCCACACTCGGGGTTGGGGAGCGATGGTGGAGGGCCCAGTAGGGCAAGAGCACCACCTCCACACAGGCTGCAGGTACGGAAGCAATGAGTGTTGATAGTGGTAGAATAACAAAGGGGACGAACCCACACAGGTCCCTTAGCCCCAGCCAGCCTTGAGCCTACATCAGCGAGCCTACACCAGCCCCTGCCGCTCCCTGTAGACCTCCTTATCCTGCTCGATGGATGCTATTCTCCATGAGGTAGCTGGAGCTTAGTGATTAGGGCGGTTCCCGAAGGGAAGACAGGCATGGAAACGTTTAAAGAAGCCTGTAGTGCACGCCTTACAGCTCCTTCAGATCTGATAGAGGCCATAGGATCAAACCTACTCTAGGCAGGGGCTCTACCACTGAACCACGCCCCCAGCCCCTCACTGGGGGATCCTAGGCGGGGCTCTACCACTGAGCCATGCCCCCAGCCTCTCACTGGGGGATTCTAGGCAGGGCTCTACCACTGAGCCACGCCCCCAGCCCCTCACTGGGGGATTCTAGGCAGGGGCTCTACCACTGAGCCACGCCCCCAGCCCCTCACTGGGGGATTCTAGGCAGGGGCTCTACCACTGAGCCACGCCCCCAGCCCCTCACTGGGGG